CCACGCCTCCTTCAAGTCTGACTCCGATGTTACTGTGAAGGAAAGGACTCTAATTAATGGATTGTATCTACCTTCATTTCCTTGTCTTGATAAGTGCACCCTGCCTATGCAATGTGCTAACAGCAGGGGAAGCTGAGAGAAGGGCATTCCAGAACCCTCTGTACTATTTTTGCAACTTTTATAAATCTAAAGTTATTTCAAAACAAAATGTTTAAAAACAACAAAAAATTTTGCTTCTGCCAGCACTTCCTACCTCCTCCCCTTCCCGATCTTCCCATCTTTCTCCACAGCACGCACCCTCTCCTGTACCAATAAGATCTAGGTCCTTTGTTCAGTGTGGGATCTGTTCCCCCGTCCCTGGCTTGGCTGTGTTTTATGAGGACAGAATTTGCTATGAACCCAGATCCTGGAATAAATAGTATCATATCAATCTATAAATTCTAGTTTCTGGGCACCATAATTTACTTACCAATTCTCCATTAATGAATTTTCAGATTGTTCCAAAATGTTTGCTGTCATAGATAATGCTATAAAATACAATAGACAAGCACACATATCTTTACACATGGCTTTTTAATGGTGCATTTGCTGGGAAAAGAGCAAGCACATTTTAAATTTTGATCAATTTTGCCAATTATCATCTAAAAAACAATTGTTCTGAGGATATAATTTACTCGTTTATTTGGGTCATTACCTGCTCTTCCCCACTGGAACATAAACTCCTTGGGAATAGATAGGGGTTTTGCCTGTTTTATTCAGTGCTGTACACCCAGCTCCCAGAACACATATTTGTTGAGCAAATGACATGGGTAAGCAAGAGCTAGTGAGTGCTACAATTGGTGGCATAAGATATAGACGTTTAAATATATTATTTAAGGCTGTGAAGGTAGTGTGGTCAATAGAATAATAACCCCCCAAGGATCCCACATCTTAAATCCAGAACCTGAGATTATGTTCCCTCACGTGGCAAGAGGGATTCTGCAGATGTGATTAAGAATCTTAACTTTGTTTTTCAATTACAGTGGACGTTCAATGTTATATTAGTTTCAGGCATGTAGTATAGTTTTTAGACATTTATATAACTTACAAAGCACCGCCCCCCCACACACACACACCATGCATAGTTATTACGATGCTATTGACTATATTCCTTGTGTTGTACATCCCTGTGAATTTTTTGTAACTGCCAATTTGTACTTCTTGATCACTCCACCTTTTTTTTACCCAGTCCTCCTTCTCCCCTCCCCTCTGACAACCATCAGTTTATTCTCTGCATCTACAAGTTTATTTCTGTTTTGTTTGTTTATTTTGTTTTTTAAATTCCACATATATGTGAAACCATATGGTATTTGTTTTTCTCTGTTCGACCCATTTCATTTAGCATAATACCCTCTAGTTCTATCCATGTTGCCACAAACGGTTAAGATTTCATTCCTTTTTATGGCCAAGTAATATTTCATTGTTTGTATGTACCACACATTCTTTATCCATTTGTCTTTTAATGGGAGCATTTAATTCAGTGGCATTTTATGAGTTGTTTTCGGACTGTGTTTGCAGTCCTTCTCTACTCCTCTCTTATGCCCTTGCTCTCTTCTCTTGTATGACTTTCCGTAGTGTTGTGTTTGGATTCCTTTCTCCTTATTTCTTGGGTAGCACTTGCAGATTGATAGTTTGTGGTTATGATGTGCTTTGTCCATACCAGTGGTTCTCAACCTTCCTACTGCCGCGACCCTTTAATACAGTTTCTCATGTTGTGGTGACCCCCAATTTCATTGTTACAAATTGAACA